ATTTTTTTCGATTCAATTATCCGGTTAACCAATTAACCATTACTAATTAATATAAATATGTTAAGATTACTAAACCCATAACAAGTTTTCTAAAAAAAGAATGAATGGCAATGAATAATCCATATAATTTGTTTAATTATATTGTTGTTTTTATTAATAATGAAATTAGTATGAATTATCAAATATTTATGGAGTATGGAAAATAAAATCTACTAGTAAAAAATATATTTTTTTAATTAATAGATAAAATATAGTCAGATATTTAGTTATTTATGTGCAATGATGATGAAATGTAAATGACAATTTTAATCTATATCAACATATGTATATTTAGACAAAATTGCAAAAATGGTCTCTGTGGTTTGTCAATCTCTGGGGTAAGGTCCAAAAAAAAGTTTATTAGCAAAAAAGGTCCTTATTTGATGGTTTTGTTGTGGTTTTGGTCCCTATGTCGTTACGTTTAACAACATAGCTGTTAACTTTTGGCAAATGACAGATTTACCCCTGGGACCATTTTTGCAATTTTATCTTTTTCCCAAACTACAAGGACCAATTATGCAATTTTTCTTTTTCATTTTGTTGAATTATTATATATTAATTATTTTAATTACTTTTTTCTTTTTAACTTTTTTCATATTGTATTGTTTTTTTATCGAATTATTATATATTAATAAATATTATTTTTAATATATTATATTTATATATTAATAAACATTACTTATTATTATTATTAATTTTTCTAATTAATTTTTTTTTAATTTCTTCTTTATTGCATTAATTTTTTTTGTTGGATTATTATATATTAGTAAATATTATTTTAACATATAATATTTATCTATTAGTAAGTGTTACTTTATTGGATTATTAAATTCATTTAATTATTTTTTTTTAATTTTTTTATTTCGTTAATTCTTTTGATTGGATTATTATCTATTAATAAATATTATTTTTAATATATTATATTGATATATTAATAAATATTATTTTTTTATTATTAATTTTTTTAATCGATTTTTTTAATTGCTTTTTAATTGTATTAATTCTTTTTTATTAGATTATTATATATTAACAAATATTATTTTTAGCATATAATAAACTTTATTGGATTATTAATTTTATTTAATTATTTTATTTAATTTTTTTATTGCATTAGTTCTTTTTATTGGATTATTAATTTAAATTTATTATTTTTATTTATAATAAATAATAATTTTTAATTGTTTTTATTTTCTTTTAATTTCTTTCTTTATTGTTTCAAATAAAAATACCAAAAAATCTCACCCACCCCACATTCTCTAATTTATTTTAAATATTTGGAAGATAACATATTTTAGACAACACCACCACCATCACTCAGTCACAACAAACCACTATCGGGCCGTCTCCAACCCTGTTACTATATATATATATATATATATATATATATATATATATATATATATATATATATATATATATAAGTTTAGTAATTATTCACGAAGTGAGATCATCGTGTGTATTTTAGTTTTTGTGTATTCACATATATCTAAATTTGCTATATATTTCAATAAACTTATGATTTTAACTTATGATTTTGACATATATAATTTCTCTAAAAATATTTCCACATGAAATACCAAATCTGAGTATTCGCTACTCGGCGGTGGGCCGAACGAGTACCGAATAACAAGTTCTACAACTTTGTCACCACTTGTAGTGGCTATGGTGGTTTGAAAACCCTCGATCTAACATTGTCGTCGTCGATGGTGGTATCTGTAATGAATGGTCGGTTGGAGGAAGTATGTTTTCTGGGGTTTATTTTACATTGTGTGGGTAGTCAACTGGTGTAGTTTTCGTCGAGAATGGCCGACTGTAGTCGATGATCGATGATTTTCAGTGAGATGATACGACAACGCAAGGTGGTAAAATGCAACGAATGGAGGAGCTGATCCGGAGTGTTTGGTATTTTTATTTAAAACAATAAAGAAAGAAATTAAAATAAAATAAAAACAATTAAATAAATATTAATTATTATAAATAAAAATAATAAATTTAAATTAATAATCCAATAAAAAGAACTAATGCAATATAAAAATTAAAAAAAATTAATTAAATGAAATTAATAATCCAATAAAGTAACACTTACTAATAGATAAATATTATATGCTAAAAATAATATTTGTTAATATATAATAATCCAATAAAAAGAATTAATACAATAAAAAATAAATTAAAAAAATAAATTAAAAAAATTAATAATAAAAAAGTAATATTTATTAATATATAAATATAATATATTAAAGATAATATTTATTAATATATAAAAATCCAATCAAAAGAATTAACGAAATAAAAAAATTAAAAAAAATTAATTAAATAAATTTAATAATCCAATAAAGTAACACTTACTAATAGATAAATATTATATGTTAAAATAATATTTATTAATATATAATAATCCAACAAAAAAGAATTAATGCAATAAAGAATTATTTCAAAAAAAAATTAATTAAAAAAAATTAATAATAAAACAAAGTAATATTTATTTATATATAAATATAATATATTAAAAATAATATTTGTTAATATATAATAATCCAATAAAAAATAATACAATAAGAAATAAGTTAAAAAGAAATAAGTAATTAAAATAATTAATATATAATAATTCAATAAAATGAAAAAGAAAAATTGCATAATTGGTCCTTGTAGTTTGGTAAAAAGATAAAACTGCAGAAATGGTCCCAGGGGTAAATCCGTCATTTGCCAAAAGTTAACAGCCATACTGTTAAACTTAACGAGGTAGGGACCAAAACCACAAAAAACCATCAAATAGGGACCTTTTTTGCTAATAAACTTTTTTTTGACCTTACCTACAGAAATTGACAAACCACAGGGACCATTTTTGCAATTTTGTCGTATATTTATAACAAATGTTAACGATGACAATTATTGGTTTAAAACGGAAAATGTAAATAATATGACAATTATTAATTGTAACTAAAAATTTCTAAGAAATAATTTGATATTAACTTAAACGAGTAAACATAAACTTTAAAAATAGAAAATAAAATTTCGGTTTTTCGGTTAACTGTCCGTAGCATAAAGCATGAACCGTAACCGAACCGAAAAAACGAAGATTTTACCGGTTCATTTAACCAAACCAGAAAATTCAAAAATACCGGGTTGGTTAACCTAAAAATCGGTACGTTTTTTCGGTGTTTAGGTTCGGTTTTTCGGTTATTTTAACCACCCAATTAGATTTGAATAAGTATTCAAGTCAAAATTTTATAGTGGTTTTTTCGATGCTCTGCTTCCTCTGATTAAAGTACATACTCCTTTATATAAAGCTATTTCAATATGAATATTTTTACCATTTTTTTAAATTTTCATTCCCTCTACTACCCCAAGTTTGCATGTTCATACTTTCATTTAGTACCAACCTCTCGAACATGTACCTTTGTAATTATTATCGACCATAAATTGTGTTGAAGTGTTTATGTAGATGTATTATGAATCTACTACTTTTGAGGTACTTTATTAATTGATCATTTGTTTCTTTCTTCTATGCTTTAGTTATTTGATGTTTTTTTTATATGGAAAAAAATACTCCAGAGAGGTCAAACAAACTTCAACTTGGTTAATTTCATCATCCAAACCTCCACATTAATTTTTCTTATTCACTTATTGTTTTATGTGTTTAGATTTGATCGTTCATTCATATTTCATATATGTAGATTTGAAAGTCAATATGTCAAACAAACTTTAATAGATTGCCTTTAGATGTAGGACATGCTTCAAAGTTTTATTATTATCACGTTATTTTATATATATAGATACTTAACTTGTAAATTTTTACAAATTCAAAATACACGGGCGTGTTTAACACGCCGCGTTTGAGAGTGTTTAAGAACTTCTAGCTTCTAGCGTTTGATAAAACGTTCCGTTTTGAACAAAAAGTCTCATTTGGCACTGCATGCTTTTAGCGTTCAGTTTAAACAAAACACTACAAATCTAAAAGTTATATCATGTAACATTTAACAAAACGCTATCAGCTACCCGTTACTCACTACCAGTTGGTTTTGTTGAACACGTCTTATATGTAAGATATAAAAGCTGTTTTTTTTAAAAGAAAGTTATGTTTAAAATAATTCAGTTATGTAAATAGTCTGTAACATTAATTTTAATTAACTGTTTCGTCTTTGATCTGAAAAAACATAAACTTAGTTGTTAAACATTTTTGTTGCCTATATAAACCAAAATTTTAAATTAAATAAATATTTCGGTTTCAGTGAATTAAATATTAAATTTTCTTAGAAAAATATATTTTCAAGAAACATATTATTTAATGTTACAAAGATCGTCAAAACTATCCCACCAAAGTAGTTCGGCAAGAAACTTGATTCTGCATCCTTATTTCAGGTGCATGAAATCTAGTCTCAAAACCGGATTTTAGAGCATTTTAACAATATTTTATAAACCGTGTTGTAATAGTAATTTTAATACAATATTTTTTTCTTCAAACCTAATAATTTGTATTGTAAAATATTATATTATAGAGCTCTATAAAATATAAAAGGTAGTTATCAATATAGTCCAACAAACTTATGTGTTTTGGTTTAAAAGGTCCTCCATCTTTCTTTTCTTTTTTTTTTCTTTTTTTTTTGCATTCTAAGGGCAGGAACTTGTATTTTACCAGCTAATTTGGGTAAAAAAAAACCCCATTGTAACCGGTTAGATCTGCCAAATAGGTTAAAAAATGATGTCATGTAGCCTCGTCAGCAACACTTGAAGCCTAGTAGAGTTATGCCTTGTCAGTAACTTGGGGATTAATCTAAACACTACTCTGACAGTTTTTCTTACCAAAACAAAAAGATTTCACCTTTTTTATTCTATCTTTTTCAAAATCGGGAAATGGAAAAGCTTAATTTCGTTAACAATGGTGGCCTCTGATTACCACTAGGGTTCATGTTCTTCCCGACTGATGAAGAGCTTGTGGTAAACTTCTTGCAACACAAGGTTCAGTCTCGCCCCATGGCTTCCTCCATCATTGTTGAAGCTTGGGATTTACGAGCTACGTTACTCTTCTTTCTGAAAATTCAAAAAACTCTGTGAAATAAATGGAATGTAAGGTGATAATGGTTTGTTACTGTGTGTTTTGGGTGATCTAAAGAAAGAAATGAAAGATGTAATATGCTCAAGAGTCATATTAGAATGATATTGATAATTAACATATGATACTAAGGATCACACTAACAACTTGATACAGTCGATTATTTATTAGAAATTGATTTTAATAAATATTCATAAACTCTTATAATGAATTGGAAAAATATTTATTTCATGGAAATAGTTATTTTACAATAACAAGTAACAAATTATTTCATATGTTATGAATTAATAAGTCATGTATATTATTTTTGGACTAGAAAGACTTTTTTTCTTTTTGCTTAAAGTTAAAGTTTATATCTTATAAAGAGTTATAAGAATTTTATATACTTTTATTCTCTTTTTATACAAAAAAAAAGGTGAGCTAGTTTTTAGGAAACAAGACATGGTCTTTTGAATATAATAAGGGAAAGTAAGCATGGCTTAAAAGGCATGGGAGACATGTAGGCTTTAGAGTATGGAGTGCTTCAAGTGTTAAGAGCTCTTGGGTAATGATTTAGCTTTATGAAGGCTTTCATACCTTCATTTTTGGAAGAAAAATTGTAGCTTCTCCTCCCTCCCTCATTCATTGTTCTTCCAAAGTGTTAAAAGAAGTTACTTGTTCTCTTTAAGTCAAATTTTGGTTTTGGCTTAAAGGTTAAGAGTTGTGACTAGCATCTCTTTAAGTTGGTTCATTGTTGGTGTCTCAAAGGTTCCACATTCTTCATCAACTTCCTAGCCTCCCCTTGAGGATCCAAAGACAACAAAGGTTGTTTATTCTTTTACTCTTCTATGGTTGATGTTTTCTTTCCATTACTTGTAAGAAGATCATTGGTGGATTGTAATTTGTTATTAAGTTCAAAAATTTTAAGACTTCCGTTGCAAATATTATGAGTTTTTTAGAAACTAATTTTGAACAAAACCCAATAAGAAAGGTAACCGAATGGAAAACGATCCAATCGATAAACTATAATTTTGTCATCGTTTGTCAAAAAATGAAATAAACATGATCAAGAAATGATATAATCAGAAGCTTTGAGGAATTGTTATATAACCTGAACTGGTAATGGCCAAGACCATGTTTAACAACCCATATGAATTCTCCGACATATCTGCTACCATTTTCACAAGTATGAATCCCACTTCCATGAGCGAGTGATAACACTGATTTGTCACACTTCAACCTGTAAACCCACTTGCAATAAACAATGTTGCAGTAAGAAACGGGATGAACCAGGGCTCAATTGCCATTTTGACAAGCACATAGTATTTGTCGGCCATTGCTTCATGTCACTCGAGATATTTGTTGGCGATGAATCAATACACACGAAATCCATGTCTCAATCCTTGCCTTGAACATCGATGGCTTTGACCTTTTGGACCATTCACCGGAATATGCATCTCCGGTGTAGAATCTGTACACACCAAATCCATGTCTCAATCCTTGCATGTACTGACCTCTATACCAGCCTTCCTTGACCCATTTGTGAGGTGTTGATCTAGGAGTTGGTCTGGCAACTGAATCATAATCAAAATCACCGTCGTTGATCAGATTTGATGTCCATGATTAGGGCTGGTTGTAATTGGAAGACGGAGAACAGAGTGAAGAACCGTCGTCGATCAAGATTTGGTGTTCATGATCAGACGACTCAGTCAATAACAAAGAACACAAAGAACAGAGTGAAGAACCAGAAGAATGTTGATTGAAATCGGAAGAGACACCGCTGCTATCTATTCTGATTTAAACCTCCGATTTCTTGTGATGCAATTCATAAGTGATTATTGGTTTTCTCTAAAACGAGAAGTAGACAGAGTCTTAGTTGACTTCATGGCCATAGCTATTGAATTTAGGGTTATTGTCGGTCATGTAACGTAGCAAATAAGGTGAGAGTTTAATAATTATTTTGCATATTAAACTTGCTGCCTAGGAAGGGGTTTACCGGATGACCCCTTTCAGTTTTTTCAAAATGATCTTTTAAACCTTAAAAATATGAATTCGTACCCTTAGAATGCAAAAAAATAAAATGATGGACCTTTTAAACCAAAACATGTAAGTTTGTGGAGCTACAATGACAGTTATCAAAATATAAATTATTTTGTAAGAAGAACAATTATTGTCTATGAATATACCACATTTTTGGCCTACCCAAGATTTCAAATACACCTACAAATATCCATTTAGAGTTTTGATTTGGCCATTAAAAACCAAATGTTTTGACTTTTACACACTCAATTTTAATTAATGATAGGAAGCCATGATAAATGTACAAAAGCCAAAAATACTTTTTTTAGTAAACGGAATATCAACTATCTTTTAATAAACATTTAACCTCAAATTAAACTTCCATCAATTATACTGAAAAAAATTCATCCACTATAATTTTTTTTTCAGTTGTGCTACCCTAACACTTTGTTTTGTTCTCGATCCACCACTATATATATATATATATATATATATATATATATATATATATATATATATATATATATATATAGCATCACAAAAGGAATCTCATTTTGGATCAAAAAGACTCGACACTTTAAAAAATGCAAGAACAAGAGATGATAAAATATCCATTCAATGTGATTATAAGTTAAAACAACAAAAAACTTGAACCATAAATCTAGCGTTAAAGTTACCAAGAAATATCATATCCTTTTGTTTTTAAGCATAAATTGAAATAAAAATGGAACCCCAAATGTCTACAGCTCCAAAAAAAAAACTGAAATATCCATTGGCAAGTATACCACCTCTTCAAACAACTTAAAAAAGTCACATCACATCTCATCATCTCATCTATCTGATTGTTACAAACTTGTTAGTTCCATGTTTTGCCCAATGAAGCCTCAAATCAATCGCATTCGCAAAGTTATAACCTTCGGATGCTAATTTCTCCAACACTTTCTTGAAAGCGCCATTACTCATCTTCCTCCCTGCAATTCTTGCACCACGTCTTTTAGTGCTCATCGGCAATGGATACATTGATATGGTGGTGGTGCAACAGGCCGACTGCCACCCACCGGAGCCCCACCTGTAACACTGCTGAGGTGCCCCTGTACATGAACAAACAGGTATAGGAATACCAGAAATGTCCATGTCAATACCGTTTATCACCACATCCATACTTCTCTTCACAACCTTTGACCTTTGACCATGGTGGTTGCCGCCGTTTTCTTTGGGTACAGCTGGAGCTTTTCTCGGTTTTTTTGCTCGTGGGGTTTTAGGGTTTGTTGTCGATCTTTTCTTCACAGGACCACTGCCGCCAGTGTCACCACCACCTCCACCGCCATTATTGTCGTCGAGAGTGTCTTTTGGGAGATCGATGGGTTGTTGTTGTTGCATCATGTGCATTGAATTGGAAGCGGAAGCATCGGGAAGAAGAGAGAAATTTGGGTTTCCGGGAAGCATATGGAGGAGTCGTTCTCGTTGTATCCAGCTGTCTCTCATGTAATGAAGAGGTATCGGTGCTTCTGAAACGACGCAGTTTTGTGGGCGGTGGTGGTAAGCCGCCGCCATGGATGATGCTCCGTTTTGGTTCATCATGAGGGGATTTTCTCGGGAAGATAAGAAAGGTTTTGTGTCTCGATGATCTGTGAGAGGTGACATTAGTTGTAAACCGAGATGTTCTTTGAATGAAGGCTCGTAATACCCCCAATTTCGCATGTTCAATCCGTCGTCATCCATGGAAGCTGTAGATGCAGCACCAAAACACCATTGTCACATTTTTCAAGACGTGAAAAATTAGCGATATAAACAGAGGCAAAACGAAAACGAAATCGAAACCCTTTACACCAAATATGAATGAAAAATTGAAATGCTTTGAGATCCGATGCGAACATGATGATACAATCGGCTTTTGAACAAATCAAACAACAATCTATAACCGTAGAAAAAGGATAAGATCCAAACAACAGATGCAATTCAGGATTCAAATATGAACAGATTGAAGATTCTAGGGCTCCAAAAGTAGATCCAAGACAAACGGTGATAAATCAAACAGATCCAATACAAATTCATAGATAATAACGATTGCGGATTCAGAAACGAACATGCAAATAGCCAAAAACACAATACAATTACAAATCGATTTCAATTTCAGATCAATAAAAGGGTAAAAAAATCAGATCTTGGTGCAAAAAAGAAATTGAAGATCGGGTGAGATAACATGAACCCATATGTGTATGAGCTACAAAAAGTTCAATAAGTCAAATATTTTAGATGATAAGAGAGGGAAAGAGAGAAATAACAATTTGTATATGAGAGAGATAGAGGGAGAGAGAAAGACTTACTTGTGTGGGTAAAACAGCTCTTTTTTTTTCTGGAGAGAGGAGAGAGGAGAGAGAGAGAGAGAGAGAGGGGAGAAGGAAAGAAAGAGATAGGAGAGAGGAGAGAGGAGAGAGAAAGGTTAAGGAAAAAGAAAGGGGACTTAAAATGGAGGTTCTTCCATGGACAAATGAAGCAATAAATAAAGCAAAATCCAACCGATAACTGTGTTGAGTTGTTGTTGTTGTTGCTTGCACTTACAGCAGCTGACATCAAATCCAAAACACCAAGTCTTATCTCTCTCTTTTTGCCCACCCCACCTTCCTTTTTAATTGTCTCTCTTTTTATATTCCCAAAATATTTAATGTTTAACAAAAGTGTTTATTTTCAGTTTTTAATTTACATAAGCAATATCCAAAACGATATTACTTTGACGTTTTTAAAATACATAAAATAAAAATATTAAGATAAAGTAGCTAAATCCCTTAAATTACTTCCCAAGAATTTAAAAAAAAAAAAAAAAAAATAGTTGATGGAACTTTTTAGCAATGATTTTTGTAAGTTATCACCGATGAAAATTTTGATGGCCCGCGAAAATGTATACTTGAACGCGATATATGTATAAAAATCTTGATGACCTACGAAAATATCCGCAAAAAACTCGATATAGGCCTAAGTGTTTGGTTTCAGGGTGGTCTCTTATATATAAACTATTTTTTTTTCACAAACAACTACAGATTCTTTTTAAAAATATGGATGGAAGAGACAACAATCTGCTTAAACCAATGAGTTAATTATTCCTAGCTATGTTTTTAATGTGTATTACCATAAACAATGATATTTTTGATATTTTCCGCATATTTATATGAGAAAACCTAGATTTTCACAGGTACTCACCTGTAAAAATATAGGTTTTCTCGTATAATCACCTACAAAATTTAGGTTTTTTCATGCTTTGATTTGTGAAGATTTAAGTTTTCTCGGTCCATGACATGCATAGTATTTTCCTTTATAATTGCATTTACATACATATAGGCGATACCATGGACATTTATTTTCATTTTTTCCATGATGATTGTTATTACATGTTATCGTGTACTTTGTCATATATCATTTCATATGTTGTTCATACATGTTGATAAAGGAAATTAAGAAGGTTATGTTTAGGGCATCTCCAACCCCGCATTAAACTCATTTTTACACTAAAAGGCTCCAACTTCACACTAAACCTAACAATACATATAGTGTTGGTGAATAATGTAGCACTAAATATAATGTTATATTATTCATCAACATTATCTTATACACTATGAAAGTTTGATAAAATGGTATATATCTAGAATGTTTTTTTAGTGTTTAGGATAGTGTAATGAGTTAGAGAGAATTTAGTGGTTGCACTATCGTTTACACTATAATTATAAGTTTAATGTAAAAGATAGTGTTAAAGGTTGGAGATGTTCTTAGATACTCCTATGTTATTAGGATTTTTATGAGATTTTAGTGGTTATGTTTTGATATTATAACCCCTTGTTCTCCCTTCCTGATGTATAAGTTGTAACTTCTTTTCAAAATTAACATACATCTTAGGTTTTAATTTTTTCATCAGAATTAGATCATGAGAATCTCAAGAGTATGAAGATCATAGAATACCTCTTGGATTAGAACTTTTATTCAAAAGATAGTTTTCAATATATATTGTTATCCATTATTGTATCAATTTTTATGGATTTATGTACAAAAGACTTCATGCATCCGAGATTAATAAATCTCACTAGTTTTTTATATATCATAGTTAAATTATGGCGTGCACATTATGTATTTGTTATGTATTTATGATCATGGTGCATCTTATTTGTTTCCATGCAACCGACCTAAATTATTGGATGGAAATGGAATGTTTAGTTACCACTATGAATATTTTGGAAATACATAGGTGTTTATAAAATAAAAATCGGCTGTCGTGAATTAAATAATATCACTATAAAAGACAAGTATAGATCTATTGCCAAGGATAGATGATATGTTTGATCAACTTCAAAGGACAACATGTTTTTTTTTCAAAATTGATCTAAAATTAGATCGTGCAAAACGAAGAAATTCGTAAATGGCTTTCCGCACTAGATATGAACATTATGAGTTTCTAGTGTCACCATTTGGATTAATGAATACCCCAACGATCTTTATGAACCTGTTGAATGGTAATTTTTTTAATGTTTTAGACAAATTCATGAGTGTTTTCATCGATGACATCTTGATTTATTCAAGGATTCAAGAACATGAAATTCATTTGCGGATGTTATTTAACTATTTCATGAAGGAAAATTTAAACAAAAATAAAATCCAAGTGTGAATTTTGCTTGTGTGAAGTTTACCAAGGTGACAAAAAATTGAATGGACAAAGTTTCATAATGAATAGTTTTGAAATTGAAGAAATTGCTATGTGAAGCTCCAAATTTAGCCTTTTTGTAAAGTGTCAAGGACTTTGTGGTTTATTTTGACGCCTCTCGAACTGTTGGGATATTTGTTGATGCAACGAGACCGAATTATTAGATACATATCTCGTCAATTCAAGGACTCACGAAAAAGGTATCCAACTCATGATCTTTAGTGAGTTGCTATGGTATCTGCATTGACGATATGGAGATGCTACCTAAATGGAGTTAATGTCTAAATCTACAATGATCATAACGTTTGCATGATCTTTTTTTGACCAAAAAAAGGTCATAATATAAGACAACAAAAATGGATGAGGTTATTGAAAGACTACGAATGTTGTATCTTTTTGACCAAGAAGCCCATAACTTGTTACTAAGCTTTTATGCTTAGTTTGTTTTAAATTGATTATGAATTTCAGGTACAAACTAAAGCTTAAAGGGTAATTACAAAACAGTTAGTTTTTTTTTTTTTGAAACGACAAACTAACTAACATACTCCTAAATAATCACCTATGACTCCACCGAGGCTTGAACTCATGACCTCTCAAATGAGAGTCGTTCCTTACCGCTAGACCATTGGCCATTTGGTATGAAACATTTAGTTGTTAGCATGTGTTGACTTGTTCCTAAATGTCTTTTGGGTATTTTTGTTTATCCACGTGAACTTAACTTCAGTAAACTAGAGTGGGTTTTTCATGTAAGACTCTTTCGGAAACCTAGACACTATCTAGCAAACCTTAAAAAAGAAGATTATTATGTATAAAAATGTAAAGCATTTGGGGATACATGAATGTAAATATAGTTATGAATTGTACCAAGTAAGGGTTAAATATGAAAGGTGAATTATGACTAAGTTATGAAAAAAAATTGTTAGTGGGTATTTGAAATTGGGTTGATACACAGGTGAACCACAGGCACCACCTTTGGTTGAATTCAACAGAAGATCACCATCAACAACGATGTGAAACACTATCTGAAAATACAACCAAATTCATCAGGAGCTTGCAGTCGGTTTTTCTTTAGACAGTGCTATAAGGATAGAAAGTAATACCAAGGAATCGAGGGCACACAACAAAATTTGAACACCAATGCATATATATACAACACAAATTAACACCAATGTATAATATATACACAACACAAACATCATGTGGCTGTTCATGCCTTCTGCAACTTTTCTTTCTCAATGGCAGCTCTTTTCTCATCAACATGTTGAGCAACCCCCTTTGTCAATGCCTGATAATGTAAGTCAAGCGTTTGTGATAATTTCTCGAACCTCATTGCATCTGATTGTTGCAAAACTATGAATTTATCACATAAAAACCCGAAAGGTTAAAAAAAATCCAAAGAATAAATTTGGAAGTTATAGTAAAAAAAAAACTAATTCGTACTTTCTTACCTTTCATAGTATCCACAAAGAGAACAAAGGGATCCACTTCATCAGTTGATGACTTCAAGTCTTCATCATCACTGATGTCATCATCATAGTCGTCAACCCCCATTTCCTTATCAGACCTATCAACCTCGTCATCCGTTTGAAAATCATCACTCATATCATCATCTTCCTCAGTCTCTTCCTTATCTTCTGTGTTCATATTATTACACATACTATTAATATATGATGTAAATTTATATTCATTAAACACAAGCATGAAAAACAAGATTTTTATGGAGAACCTGCTACTTGATCCTTGTAGGCAACAAGTAGGTCAAGTGTTGCCTTATAAACACGCCCTAAGACCTCTTCTGGCAACTGATCAGCAAGTGAAAGCAAAGATGTCAACCCCAAACAACAAACTCTCTTATCATTTTTGCTGAAAACACGCAAAACAACAACCAGATAAAATAGTCTATAATAATGCTTTTAGGGGATCCATATTATAGAAACGGTTAGATACCTTCTAAAAGTCGCATACGTGCCAGTGTTTCCAGCTTTTTGCAACAACTGAAACCAATGGTTAAATATTTCTCTAGTCACACCAAGCTTTTGCAATATATCATATGTCAAAGATGCATTGTAGTATAAAGCATCAGCAATCTAAACAACAAAACAAACCTTATCAATGGTTATCCAAAATCACGTATAGAAATCTGAAAAGAATCATAAAAAGATAGCTCATGATTAACTTACAACTTGCATCAAAAGGCACTTCAAGTTGTGGCTTTCAGTTTGGTGAAACCGTTCAATTGTGATTCTAATATATGACTCAACCCAATGGTCCACGTGTCCCCTGCAGTTCTGTAACACTAATGACATAAGCATAGGTGCAGGTTCCGTGTTTTCATCTTGCAAGTTTTTTTCACTCATTACCTGATACAAAAGAGAAAGAAGTCACTAAAAAAAGAAATACAAGTATGGAAGTATAGTAATACATAGTTTCTTAAGTGTCAAGGATTACAGAAGATATTGTTAATTTCATTAAAAAAAAAATTTATACGAGCAACATACTTTGGAAAGCATACACCATAAACTCTGTTGGTAATCCGGCTCCTTCCATGTTAGATAGTGCACTGTATTCCCACATATATAGTTTTCCAAAATAGGATGGATATCTAAAAAAAAAGATAAAAGCCCAAAAACATTAATTTGTATGAGCATGTATAGAGCTTTTATATGAAGAAAAAGAAAAGTGAAAAAGTATTTTATAATTAGCATACCGTGTAAATATTCAATAGCCCAGCCAGTCGAAGCTTCCATTAGTAATGGCCAAAGACTCCACATATCCATGGATATTGTCAGCGGGGAAAAGGTCATGTGTAATACAATGTCAAAAACTTCATCGAATTCTGTCAAAAACAAATTATAATAATTAAGTGACTTGTAAATATAACAAATAGTTATGTTTATATAAATGTCAAACACCAGAAAATAAAATATTACCTTGTCCATTAGTTGGAAGCACTGTTTGTCGCATTATTGGAAGTAGAATTGGCTCGATATGAGCAAACAAGTGAGGAAATGTACTCACTGATTCAAGAACAGTACTAATGGCACTTAGACATCCGGCTGCTAAAGTACCCCTATCATCATCTGCTTCATCATCTTCTTCAGCTGTGTTCATACACTTCCAAAATGCAGCAACCTGTGTTATGATTAAAAAAAAGTTAGAGTGCTGATAATAACAAAATCTTTAAGAAAAAATTCATCACCAGGTTCTGGCATAAGCCAACAGCATAGGGTTCCATCTCCTCTTCACACAAGCGAACAATAGTCTCAAGGGTAGACACAAGATCCATGTTTTCAACTTCATTCATAACCTTCAAAATCTCTGAAAATAAACCATGTGTAAGAAGAGAAAACAAACAAAATTTGGAATTTGAGTCAATACAATATATATATATATATATATATATATATATATATATATATATATATATATATATATATATATATATATATATATATATATATACCAGCAAGTAGCTGTGGAAGAACTGGCTTCATTTCATCAAGATCTGCGGAATAAGATTCCATTATGATTCAAAGGAGAGAAACTACAACAAAAACGGAATATATTTAATTAGTGGTTTAATTACCTTCACATGCTTTAACAAAAGAACACAATGAAATAACCGAGTCAACACGCACTGGAAGCTCCGAGTCACTCATCCCAGCAATAACACTTTGTAGTGCTTTGCAGAAATTATTCGGGTCAGAAAAATAAATATGGGCATATTTTCCTGCAACCCATGCAGCCTAACAAAAATAACCTTTTAAAAAAAAGTTCATAACTATAAAAAGAATAAAAAAATAGATATACAATAAGATTTACCTTTGCTCTAATATGGCCCACTGGACTACTAAACTCTGGGAAAACATGTTGCACCAACATTTGCTCGAGCACAGACTTATAAGCTTCAGTTTGCATCAATTTATCACACAGTGCTCCAATAACAAGAAGGGCACCATCCTTTTGTCTATAAGGCTTAATCTCAATTGTTGCATCCTTGTATCTGATATAAAATACACCATTAAAAACTTTCAAATCTTTTTGTGTAGGAAAGTAGGAAACATGCTAAATAGTAGCTAAAGAAGACAAACCTCTTAAAAAATTCCAGAATGAATAATATAACTTTTTGAAGGATTTTTTTCCCACTTTTTTTCACTAACTTGCTCAAAAAGTATAGTGCTGCAGTCCTGGGACTATAATCTTCAATAATATCTGCAGTAAGAATAAAGTGTTGAGCACCTAAAAAACTATGGTTTGTTAAAAAAAACATATATATATGGAAGACTCACCATAACCCTTTCTCACATACTCATGTGGATCTTCCTCCCAAAGCTTTTGATCATTGTCATTGAAGCACATAAGTGGAAAGATTATCTCAAAAAGAACCACATCAAGTCTTGCTTGGAGCAGATTGTATGTAGCAGCCTTGGAAATACTGAATGATACAATATGGAGTAGATCCAATAAAAAAAATAAAGTAAAAAAGAATAAATAAGAGAAGTGTGAAGATTATCAGATGAAACAAATTACCTATTGCTTAAGTATTGTAAAATAAGATAGGTGACTCTTTCAGGTAAATAACCACCATTATCAACACGAATCCTATTTAACAAGTTCAGATGACATTCCAAGATTTTCGCAGCATATTTTTTCTCAAAGTGTTGTGCAAAAGCTCTGTTGTCTGGATATTGCAATTTCAAATCTCCATACCTGTGTAAAAGCAAAATCATTCAGATGTTTATAAAGTCTTAAAGTCAATATGTCAAAAAAGCTTAAAACCATGACTTACTTTGTATATACGAGGTGTAATATATGAACAGTCCACTTCTTTACCTTCCACCATCCCCATGACTTACGAAGGTCTGGATCAGCAGGTTGACCCTCTAATGGAACAGGTCTCTCCAATATATTCAAGAAAAGAATTATCCAATCATTGAACACATTCGAATCAAACAATTGATTTGGAATCTCCATCTGAACAACATTTCAAAGTAAATTTCATTGTAATTAATGTGAATGGGAACTTCAGTTCCTTGTAAGAATATTGCAATGAAGTAACTTACAAACATGGAAAACCAGTATGTTTTGCATATGAGCTTAATCGAATAAGCTACTTTTATTGATGGATTTTCTATATGTACAAGCCTGTTAAGAATACTGAGCAAATGAGGAAATGTCTCCTCAACAACATGATGAATTGGTGTCCTCTCCTCATATGACTTGAACCTATAAATAGCAAGTTATAAGTACATACATTAATCAAGATTCAAAAGATTCACAATGACTTACTTATAGGGATCAAAAAGGAAATACCATAACTTATGTATTCTAAGCTACAATTTAAGCTTTTGAAAAATCAAGACTTACTCATATTTTCTAGAAAGAATTTGTAACACAAATAAAGCTCCTAAAACTTGCTGACCCTGCAAATTAAGTGTCACCCACTGCAAAAGACTCGGCCATTGTTCAGGATAATCTGCATGTATAATTGTCTTGAGACACTCTCCCAATTGTACCCTGTAAACAGAATATGGTGCTTAATTTATTCATGAAAGGAAAAATAAAAAATAATCAATATCTATAAATTTAGGAACTGGATTTACTCTTTACCTCAACAATGTAGGAACTTGTTCTACAAAAACAAGAATGCTCCGCTTCACTAAGTGTTTATCATTTGGCGAAATCTTGATTTGTTCCTCTACATTATCAAATTTTGAATTAATTATTCTCAGATACATATGTCTATTATGTAAATTTGTTGGGTATGTTACATGATTTTCAGGTGATCATTTGGATTTGAGTTGTATGGATGTAGTTTGATTAGTTCAAATCAAAGTGTAGTGGAGAAATCGTGTACCTTGACCATGAGGTGACCAATTTTCTGCTATAAAATTCTTAAAATGAATACATGCAACCTGTCGCAATATAAGATCATAATTTCTATCTCCAATTATATGCAGCAGCCTCGTCAAATGCTTAGGAGTATACTGATACTGAAAAAGAAGATAATCTGAAAAAGAAGATAATCAAAATCGAATCAGATTACATCATTACAAATCAAAACTAACAAATCATCTTCCAAAAACAATCATAATGAGGGAATACTGTTTCCAATGCAATTTCGATCAAAATGAGAAGTGAATACTTTATTGAGACTCTCTTCAGCGGCTTTTCTTTCAGCATGATTGGGACTAAGTGCTCCTTGGAGAACGACATCAAGACTTGGAAGATACATGTAGTATAACGATCTTGGGAAATAATCATACAAGGATTATGAGGGAAGTGGAAACAGTCTTATTACTAATTGAGTTGATCTTGAGATTATGATACTATAATCTTAAAAAAAAATGTAAAATATATTATATATGATTGACTTGGAAACAACTATGACTAAGTTAGTTGATGTTGAGGTTATGCTACTATAATCTTTATAGAAATATAATTTGTGATTATAATTATATTTGATTGACTTGGAAACAATTTATAATATCAACTAACCAAATAATCTTTTTTACTAAAAACAAAGTTTAAATTTTTTTAAAGATATGTGGAGCCAATCAACCATATTTGTTTATTTGTAAAGTTGAGAACTTTCTTAGATACATTGTATTGTAAAACACCATTAAAAGTTCAAAAGTTCATGAGCTTGCTTTATTTATTTTTTGTTTTTGTAGAAATTGATCTAGTATTAATTGTTCCAAGTTTATGTATTTAATAATCTCATTTAGGATGTTGTGATCATTTAATTGTTTTTTATTCGTTACTTCTGTATATAAATGCAAAGAGTATTCATTATTTCAATAAATTAATATATTATTATAATCATTGTAAGTTAATAAAATTTTACTTTATATCACTGTAACATATTAGTCCTGTATTTAAGCAAGCATAATATTTACAAATTTGAAAGTGGCGGACGGCAGACCTACATAATTTATATTTTTATTGGAGTAAATTACACGAATGGTCCCTATGGTTTGGGGTAATTTAAGCGTTTGGTCTCTAACCTATTTTTGTAACTCGGAAGGTCCCTACTGTTTCTTTTTGTTACATGTTTGGTCCCTGTCTTACCTAAAAAGACTATTTTTCCCTTGATTTTTTAATTAATTAAATAAACACACCCCCAAACTCCACCCACTTACCTTACCTTACCATCCCACCATTTTTCTCTATTTAAATAATAGTTTTTTTTAGGTAAGACAGGAATCAAGCGTGTAACAAAAACAAACAGTAGGGACCAAGCGCGTAACAAAAACAAACAGTATGGACCTTCCGAGTTTAAAAAATAAGTTTGGGACCAAGCGCGCAAATTACCCCAAACCATAGGGACCATTGGTGTAATTTACTCTTTTTTTAATTGCTTAACAACATTATAATAAATTACATTTTTGATCCCTTATGTATGTACTTTTCAGTAGGTTTGATCTTATTTTTGAAAAAAATGATGTGATTGATCCTCATGGTTTTAAAATCCAGGAGGTTTGGTCTGCAGCACAGTTATCGTCTAATACCCTTCGTTAAGTACACAAAAAATAACGAAGTTACCCCTCCTTTTGTCTCTTTCTTATGTTTGTCTTTTCCTCTTTTTAGATTTAATATTACTAAATAAATGGATCTCACCTCCTCCGCCCTCACCCCTACCTGCACCCCAAACTCGTCGATTGGGTGAATTTCCGATGGCAGACCGGTTAGATAGTGAAGGAGTTAGTAGATGAGAGGTTGTGGTGACGTGGTTCAGGTTTGTTGGGTGGGAACCAGTAGAGAGGAGCAGCTGGCGGTTTTGTATAGGTGCCCATAGTGGCACCGTCAACACATACCCTGTTTGTTGGCAGTGAAAAAAAAATTACCTATTTTTTTCCCTACATCGGCAACACCTACTTCAACATCAGCAACATTTAGTATGTATTCTTACATCCGCCCCTGGAGAGGAGGTGGGTGACGACTTAGAGGTAGCCTTCGGAATGAAGGTTATCATCGGAGATGGAAGTGGAGGCTATTACCTCTTGAAATGCAGAGGGTTAGAGGTTAGTGTAAAGTATCATTCTGAAAATATATATATATATATATATATATATATATATATATATATATATAATTTTGGATTGACGTGTGAATATGTTACAAATTTCGCCACCTTAAGTTTATTGGTTTTATTAATTTGGTTTGAGGGCAATCTACGAACACACCCAAATCAGATAAAAACTAGAATGCAGTCTTGTAAGAAATTTACACAAAAATTTGTGTCTAAAACACCATTCAATAACGTAAAACCAAAGATATACATCCATATCCATAGGAGGTAATTAATCCATCATCACCTCTACTATGAAGAGAAGAAAAAAAATGGAGAAAAAAGAATAAAAAAATAATACACCCAATTATGTAAAGCTTCAAATGGTTGGTATCATCAACAAACAATTCAAAACCCCCACCCAAAAGGGCTTCTCCTTTATCATCTCACTTTCACTTTCACTTTCACTTTCACTTTCACTTTCACGACTACAAAAACCCAACTTACACCTACAAACACACCACCACATCAAAAAAATTTACTCTTTTTGAGTACTCACCATTGACCACCACTCACCACCATTGACCGCCAGTTGCACACACCAAAATTTCAACACCAATATATTATATCTATATATAACACAAACACATCATGAGGCTGAGACTGCTGCTGACGTGGCCTTCTCAAGTTTTTCCTTCTCAATTGCTATTCTTCTCTGATCAGCATGCTGAGCAACCCCATTTGCCAGTGCTTGATAATGGAAATCAAGCTTCTGTGACAAGTTCTGAAACCTCGTTGGATCTGATACTTGCAAAACTACACACAATAAAAAATAAAAAAAAGTTATGGTAAAAAATATATATATTATATAATTCATGCTTTATTACCTTTCATGGTATCCACAAAGTAAACAAAGGGGTCCACGTCATCGATAGGCGACTGTAAGTCCTCGTCATCGCTGAAGTCATCATCTGAGTCGTCATCGTAGTCATCGGTTGACCGAAATGCCTTAGCCTGATGAATATTTTATTTAATTCCAACAAATATAACTTTTTTTTTAAATTAAGTTGCTATTTTTTTTTCAAGTCGATAACAAACCTGTGCAGCTAGTTTTTGAAGTCTTAAACTATCTGCCTCGTCACCATCCTCGTCATCGAATCCCATCTCCCTGTCGGACCCATCTGCCTCGTCATCACTTTGTAAACCATCGTTCATGTCATCGTCATCCTCCTCAGCCTCTTCCTTCTCTGCTTCTGTGTATCACGAAAAAAAACTTTGGTGAATTACATTTTTGGTCCCTGGATACATCTGATTTTTGCAGTTGTGGTCCCAAAAATCGTTTTGTTACATTGTTACTTGGAGCATGGACCAAAACGTTACGGAAAGGACAACAATTGCAGAAATTGAAAAGATGAGGGACCAAAATTGTAAAATTGATATTAATGATATAGGGAACCTGCAAGTTGATCTTTGTATGCAACAAGGAGATCAAGTGTTGCCTTGAAAACACGTTCCAAGGCTTCTCCTGGCAACTGATTGGAAGGAAGTGAAAGCATAGATGTCAACCCCAAACAGCAAATTTTCTTATCATTTTCCCTGAAAAAAAAAATTTAATAAAATGATTCTAGGGTGATTAATTATTTATTTATTTATATTTATTTACCTTTTGAAATTAACCCGGACACCGTTCTTTTTAGTTTGTTGTAACATTTGAAACCAAAGGTTAAAGATTTCAGTAGCACCAAGCTTATGCAATATATTGAGTGTTAAAGATGGATTGTAGTATAAAGCATCAGCAATCTGCACGACAATAATAAAAAAAACATTATCAAGAATTATTTAAGATGAAAAATAGAAAAGTGATTTTGATTTTGATTTGATTTACTTACAACTTGCATGAGAAGGCACTTCAAGTAAGGTCTTTCAGCTCTACGCAAGCGTTCAACTGTGATATTAATATAAGGCTGAACCCAATGGTCCACCTGTCCCCTGCAGTTCTGTAACACTACAGCTATAAGCTTAGGTGCAGGTTCAATGTCATTGTCTTCCAAGTTTTTGTCATTCATTACCTGACACAAAAACAGACACCTCATCATTATTTTTAATCTGATAACATGAAAAAAAAAAAAACTAGTTTAATATTTCTTACGTTGGAAAGCATAACCCACAAGCTTTGTTGATAGTCTGGCTCCTTGCATGTGAGATAGTGCACTGTACTTCTAGATATGTAGTTGTCCAAGGGAACAAGAATATCTACAAAAAGAGAACCAAAGAATTAAAAAAAAAAAGAAAAAAGTTGACTAAAAAAACATATGTTATAACATACTTGGGAAAAAGTCAATGGCCCATTCAGCAAGAGCTTCCATCAGTAAAGGCCAAAGACTCCACATATCCATGGAGATTGTTGGTGAGAAAAAGGTCATGTAGGATACGATTTCCAAAACTTCTTCGAAAACCTCTGTTTTAAAAAAAAAAAATTAGTGAATTGTAATTTTTTATTATAATAATAATAAATAATAAAATATTATTACCTTGTCCATCAGTTGTGAGCATGCGACGCATGATAGGAAGTAGAGTTGGCTCAACATGAGCAAAGAGGTGAGGAAGTCTGCTGACTGATTCAAGAATGGTACTGATTGCACGAAGACATCCAACGGCTGCTAATGCACCAGGATCATCAGCTTCATCATCTGCTTCAGCTGTGTTCATACATTTCCAAAATGCAGCAGCCTGTATAATATATATATTCATTAATAATAATTAATAAGCCAAGTTGCTAAATGTAAGATTTTATGAGAAAAAGAAAAAAAAAAATGAATTACAAGGTTCTGGCATAAGCCAACAGCATAAGGTGCCATTTCTTCACCAAACTTGTCAACAATAGTCTCCAGGGTAAACACCAGATCCTCGTTTTCAACTTCATTCATAAGCTTAAAAAACTCTGAAAATAAAAAGAGAAAACAAAATAAAGCTCTTTATATACTCTACTTTATTTCATATAATACATACCATCAAGTAGCTGTGGAAGAATTGGCCTGATTTCACCAAGATCTGAAAAATAAGTGGTTTTTGTTAAATTAAAGATTCCAAAAATCAGAAATTCCAAATAAGTTGATGAGTAAGTTTAGTTTAGTTTACCTTTGCAGGCTTCAACAAAAGAACGCAAAGCAAAAACAGAATCAACACGAACTGGAAGCTCTGGGTCCCGCATCCCAGCAACAACACTTTGTAGTGCTTTGCGGAAATTATTCGGGTCAGAGAAATTAATATGGGCATATTGTCC